GGTGGGGGTGGGATGATAAGGATTTAGAAGCAACAGTTGGAGCATAGCATTGAATTAAGTGGTCATGAGAGAGGCACTATGATGTAGTTGGTTATTCAGCTTATGTATAGATCTAGGAAGCTTGTACGAACACTTGAACTTGTGTGGTGAACTGCTGAGGGTTTGTTCTTTTTCCCTCAGTTGGAGCATAGAATTCGGTTTGCTTTACAGCAATGTGTCATTTTTCATAACTCTGAGAAAATATTTAATTTTTTTTATGAAAAAGCTGGTTTGGTTTAATCCAGGGAAGGGTCTGTTTGGAGGGAGAAAGAGGAAAAAATGTTGGCATGCAAGATATCGGTTGAAGGAATATTTCAATGTGAATATACCAACTGCAGCAGTAAGTAAGTAATGTGGATTCGTTCCTTCACGTTGGATTTATAATAATTGCTTTGTCATCAGCTCTTGTAATAAGGTTTTATCTCTGACCTAAAAAAAAATTCCATTTTTGAGAAGGGCAAATATTCTATGAACTCAACAAATGTAATGAGTGGAACTGGTCTGCTGGAACCTAAATCCAGTTTTTTCACTGAAAAATCCATCTATTATTCTACCAGATGACAAAATGCAAGTTTCCTTTTGAAAGAAATACTGAGTTATACACATACACTTAATGTTTAGTTTGCCTGTCCCATCTTTGTTAATATTATTAATTTAAATCACATAGTAGGGTTTATTCTTGACATTTTCTAGCAATATTATAGCTTCCTGAATAAATCTGAGGCCCATTGAGGCATTGGAAGTCTTCCCATTGACTTCAGCAATCTTATGACCAGGCACAGACTCCTTGTTGTCATGATGAGCACATACCCAAGCAAGGAAGCAGACACCTCGGTGATGTTTTTGCTTCCTCCTTTGACTTGGTCTTTGTTGACGATTCTAAGATTGCAAACGCTACTAACTACTGAAATTGTGAAGCCTATGGCATATTTGCACACTAATGAACAAGCTATGAGCATCTGAAAATCTTAGTCTACAGTATTTACTTGTTACGTTGACACAAACTGTTCTGCTTTGTTTAGAGTCCCTTTGGGACAATTCTTAGATGTTATATGCATTGTACGTGCACAGGAAAGACTGTGATGTCTCTGGGGCATAACTGCACAAGAACACTACGATGTTGGGTGGTTTTTTTTTAAATTATCACATAGACAAGAGGGCTCAGAAATTAAATAACTTCCTGTTACCAATATCCTTTTTTTTTTTTTTTTTAAAGTGCACTAAGTTTGTAAATATATCAAAATTGCCTGAAGAAAAGCGAATTCAGCATGGCAAGTCTTGTTATCAACAGTAACACATAAATTATCTCTATTGGACAGTGGCCTAAGTGTTTCATTTACAAACAACTGCCCAGTATCAACCAGTATAGTCCCTCTATTTAATTCATGCAATTAAAATTAACGCTTTTGATTCTAAGACTTTTTTTTTAAAAACTATCTAGGATCAAAATCTGATTATGGGGTGGGATTTTAAAAAGTTGGTCGGTGCTGTTCTAACTGTGCTCCAGTTGAAGTCATTGGGAGTTTTACTGTTGATTTCAGTGGGACAGAGAGAGGCCAACACTGAGCATTTTTGAGATTCTACCCATAATTTTCATTTTCCTGTTGGAGGAGGGGGGATTTCCTGGGAGGCCTGGGAGGGGAGTTCATTGGAAGGCGGTGCTAAAACGCTCCAAGGTGGCACGCATTGGTAAAGCACAGAATTCCAGAACCTTTGTGTTGAATGGCCCTGTTAATCTGACCCTGAGAGGTGATGAGCACCTCCCATTGAGTGTAACTCCCGTTGGCTTTATTGGGTTGTACCTCCCAGGATCAGGCCTTGGAGGAGCTATTTTGCACAATATGTGGTCTCTTGTAGGCTAGTTTCATGCTTGCATGTGGTTCTGTGGTAGCTGTGAATTCACGTCACTCTTGGCATCACGCAGAATGGGAATCAGCCATCTGTGACAGAAAAGAACACTGTGTGCTCTAAAACTGACAGTACTTCTTCTTTTTAAAGTGAACATTTTCTGAAAGCCCCTCTTAGTTCAGCTATTGGAAGCATTCAGCATGTGTGGTAACTGATGAAATCAGTGGGACTATTTAAATGAGTATGGGATGCAGGATTGGGACCTTTAATTGCATGATACAATGCTGGCCTCAATGTGTTTTCTCTTTCTCCCCTTCCCCACCTTCTTTTCATTCCCATGTTCTGCCTTGTTGAAGGGTAGCTAATGAGTACTGGGCTCCTGGTACTGAATTGTCCAAAGGAGAAAAGAGCATTTAATATGACCTGAAAACGTAAATTGCCAAGCTTCAGCAAATGTAGGGCCTAATGCTATAAAATTTACTCATCTGAGCAGTCCTCTTAAGTTCAAAGCTAAAGCTTCATGGTGAATACCACTGTGTAAGGAGGTAATGATACCAGCTCTATATTGTAGCATTGTCTAGTCTAGAGAAATCAATCCATGATATTAGCAATCTATTGTTTTATATGCACATTGTTCTACCACCAGTTGAGTGCATCTCCGCTAGCCATCTTGACTCTGTAAGGTTTATTATCCTTGCATCCACACTAGGGCTGCTTTGCCCTGATTCAAGTGGGGGTGGCTGCCATGTTCGACAGTTTTCATTTTTTGACAGATGTCAGAGATGCCATTTAGCTGGCAAGCTTCCATTGTTCACCAGCTGAATCTCTTCTCTTCCCCACCCCCAACCATGTTTTGTCATGCCCACACAACTCTCCCCACATTACCTTCCAGAAATATTACCAGCTCCCACTCTGCAGGAGCTTAGCTGAGATTATGCTCGCTTTCACTGTAAACCCCTCTTCAAATGTTCCCCTCTCCCTAAGTCATGATTTCCCCCAGCTATGCCTTCCCCACTTCCAATAATCCCCACGCTCTGTCTGTGCCACTTATTCAGTGAACCATTGACAGTTCACCAGTATACTCTGTGACACACTTCAGGTGGAAACAAGTTGACAATCCACAGGTGGATTAAAGGGCTAGGAAGAGGTTGGAAAGCGGTAGTGGAATGGCTGTGAAGAATGCATTGGCTTGCTCTGACATACCACCTCTGGCTCTTCAGATTGAGAACATAACGGTTGCACAATCAGAGGTTTGTTGGCTCAGGTGTGGAGTAGCCAGAGGTGGGGTTGCAGATCATGGCCTGGGGAGAGGTTTATATTTGAGGAGGTCATAATGAGCCTGATCACTATCTGAGATCCTGGAGATGTCCTAAAGAGGGAAGTAACTAGGTATATTTAAAACTAGTGTGTTGAGTATGGAGTACTAACTTCTTTTGTCGTCGCTCTTTTTGTTACTTATCTGTTACTTTGGACAATAAAGTGACAAGCTCATTTTTTAAACTTGTTTCTGTGGCCCTTTGTAAAACACTCCTGAAAAGGCATTGCCTACTTGACTTTTCAGAACAGAGTTCTTCTAAGAATATATATATATTGCGGTTCCTTATTTCAGTACATAATTCATTACACTAATAGCTGACTAATAAAGTGAGGACTTCTTATTGGAAGATACGCCTGAGTTTTAAAGTCCTCGCTTTCAAAAAAATAACCGATTTTCTCTTCCAAAATGCCCTCCTTTTTGTTTGTGTTGCTAAATACATAAGGGAAAAACTGAATGTGGCATTCTGCATGAGAAATAGTTTTTCACAAATTTCATTTTCAGCATTCTTTTTGACAAGTCAGAACGGTATAAGATGTGACTAGTTTCCAATGAAACATAACAAGAATAATAGTTTAAGATGATGAATATAACAAGTTTTACACCTTTCTAATAAAGATGCTGCCATTTAAAAAATTCACTTAAGGATCTTTGGAGTAAACATGACTAAGCTGTCTGTTTCTTAGCGACAAAACATTTGTGAAAACAACTTTTTAAGTCTGTATGCAATGGTGTTGTAACCACATTGGTCCCAGAATATTAGAGCAGTGGTTCTCAAATTTTGTACTGGTGACCCCTTTCACATAGCAAGCCTCTGAGTGCGACCCCCACTTAAAAATTAAAAACACTTTTTAAAAAATATTTAACACCATTATAAATGCTGGAGGCAAAGCGGCGTTTAGGGTGGAGGCTGACAGCTCACGACCCCCCATATAATCTTGCGATCCCCTGAGAGTCCCAACCCCCAGTTTGAGAACCCCCGTATTAGAGAGACAAGGTGGGTGGGTTCATCACATAAGAATGGTCATAGTAGGTCAGACCAAAGGTCCATCTAGCCCAGTATCCTGTCTTCTGATGGGGGCCAATGCCAGATGCTTCAAAGGAAATTAACAGAACAGGCAATTATCAAGTGATTCAGCCCCTGTCCTCCAGTCCCAGTATCTGGCAATTGGAGGCTTAGGGACCCTCAAGCATGGGGTTGCATTCCTGACCATCTTGGCTAATAGCCGTTGATGGAGCTATCCTCCTTGAACATATCTCATTCTTTTTTGAACCAAGTTATACTTTTTGGCCTTCACAGCATCCCTGGCAATGAGTTCCACAGGTTGACTGTGCATAGTGTGAAGTACTTTCTTGTGTTTTGTATTTAAACCTGCTGCCTAGTAATTTCATTGGGTGACCCTCTGGTTCTTGTGTTATGCGAAGGGGTAAATAACACTTCCTGATTCACTTCCTCCACACCAGTCATGATTTTATAGACCTCTCTCCTATCTGTCCCTTAGTTGTCTCTCTTTCCAAGCTGAACCATCCCAGCCCATATGGAAGCTTACACAGAGCTGAAGAAGAGCTCTGGGGAAGCTTGTTTCTCTCTCACCAACAAAAGATATTACCGCACCCACCTTGTCTTTGTTTTAAATCTGGGCAGATGAGGCAAAATCTGCAGTTACTTGCAATACTACACCTCTTTCATAATCAATGGAGCTGCACAACTACTAGAGCAGAATTTGCCCATTGATCTGTGACCATTATGCTTCTGTCCTAATGTCGTGTTCTCATTCCTGTTTACTGCTTTATACAGGGAGTGAAATATCTGTGCATTCCTGCTGCCGATTCACCCTCGCAGAATTTGTAAGTTTGGTTTGTTTTTTTTAATTCAGTACGAATGCTTGTTTTGAAATATGTTGAAGGACCTGATTCTGATCGCTGAGCAATTTTACACCAATGTAGGTTTAAATCTGTTGGTTTAGGGGGAATTACTCCTGATTTATATTGAGGTGACAGAAGAATAGCGCCCCCCTCACCCCTTTTCTTTAAGTGCTTTCCTACTTGGTATGTCTGCTTTGCTACCAACAATATCCAGAGTTGTTACGGCAAAATTTTTGAAAGGGATATTAAACCTTGTGCTTCAGGGCTGGTCTGTGTTGCAAAGTTAGGTCAGTTTAACTAGATTCCTCCAGGACTATGAAAAAATTAAGACCTTGTATGATGTAATTAAGCCAACCTAAGCCCTGGCGTACACTCTGCTAGGTTGATGGAAAAATTGTTCTGTTGACCTAGCAACAACCTCTCTGAGTTGACTTTTAATACAACGATGGAAAAACAGCACCACAGCAGTGCAGCTGCAGCTCTGCAGCTGCGTCACTGTAGCATTTCTGGTAGAGAGAGAGCCTTAGCCGTAGCCAATCTCTACGTTTTAGAGACCCGGAGGAGACCTATGTGGGGTGCAGATTATGGCACGTCTTCCTACTGTAGGGTTCTTACACCTTCCTCCAAATCATCTGGTCCTGGCCACTGCTGAAACAGTATACTGGGTTAGGCCTGATTCAGTATGTCAATTCCTATGGTCTTATGCTTCTTGTAATAGGAATGTATCTGTGTGAAGCTGCTTCTTTTTTAATTAAATTAAATTGTTATTTTATTTAACTATCCACTGTCCATGTAACTGTCCTGAAAGTTAGTTGAGCTGACCCTGGGTTTAACATTCCAAATCTTTGAATTGATGGTATGTAGGAAACCATGATCTTGAAGTAATCAAAACATATTTCATAAGAAGACTTGGATGGCGACCAACTCTGTCTTCTAGTGCTCACTGTTTATGTTGAGGAGAGGTGGGGGGGTTTCAGCCACTTCCTGCTAACTAGTTATGTAGAGAAACAGAAGTAGTTGAAAGGGCCTGGTACCTACGGAAGGAAATGCAGCACTGCTTTTTCTCTCAGATCAGAGCAATATTCCGGCTGATGCTTTCAGTGGATATTTTTAGAGTGTTTTGTTTCTCATACCTTGAAGAGATTCCAACATGACACTTGATGTTTCTTAATTGTTCTTTTCACCCTTTTCAGTGGCATGTTTCTGCAGTTGTTATAAAAATCAATTTAACACAATTTTGTGTAGTAAGAACATAGCCCGTGAGCCTGTTTTTTCCCTGTCAGAGGTACTGAGCACCCTCAAAGGCAACTGTAGTCAATGAGCTGCATGTTCTCAGTGCTTCTCAAAATCAGACCCTGAGTGTATTACTCCCTTAAAAATAATAGTAGCCCATAGGCTATTAAGTGGGAATCCAGGTTAGAGAACAGAATAGGATTTTCAGAACTAAGACGGTGGATATGGAAGCAATTTTTTGCATTGTTTTGAGGGAGGGTTGGAAAAATTGTGGAGTTTCATTTCATTTCCTTTAGGAAGGAAGCAACTTAAGAAACTACAGAGGCCTCATTCGCATTTTTGGGTAGTCATTAATCGTTTGTCAGTAGTTGGAGATCCACTGGGTAGTTGTAAAAAGAAAAGGAGGACTTGTGGCACCTTAGAGACTAACCAATTTATTTGAGCATAAGCTTTCGTGAGCTACAGCTCACGTCATTAGTCTCTAAGGTGCCACAAGTTCTCCTTTTCTTTTTGCGAATACAGACTAACACGGCTGGTACTCTGAAACCTGTCATTGTACTGGGTAGTTGTGAAAATGTTTGCAAATCTGCCGTCTGTATTAGAAATCTGGACCACTTTGTGAATAGAAAGAGGACACAATTTCCAGCGAATGTTAATTACACGTGCAATGCAACCAGCCCTAGTCATTGCATGTCAAGGAAATACATTGAAAAGCATTCAAAAGTAATTAGCTTTCTGGCACTGTACCAAGATTCTTAAAGCATTAATAAGATAAGATATTTGCATGAGTATTGTTTCTGTTATGCTGCAAGCATATACGGTTCTTGCTTCGGTATCAGATGGTTGCAAACAAATTTGGTACTTCTGATATTGATACATTTGATCACTTAAAAGAAAACTGGATGAGTAACTGACTTTTCTTCTTTATACGATGGAAAACTTCAAGTATAATGCACAGTGTCTCTAAATACTGATGGTACTTGCTTTTAATATAAAAACTTCATAAGGTCAAAAGAAGCTTGTTTTATTCAGGTCATAAGAATGTAATATGATCTTATCCAAACACTGTTTAAAAGTATAGGGTGTTTATCAGTTTGGGGGGGGGGGGGGTTGTGGAAAGAGAGGATCTGTCCCTTTCTGATTTCTTTGTGTCTCTCCCCTTCTCAGAGAGAGACTGACAGCTGCAGAGGAAAACAATAGCATCGCATATAAAGTGCTTTTACCTAGTGATTGCTGCCGAGTGAAATTGACTAGGATCACATAAGATGCTTGTCTGTATTACTCAGCAGCTGATTTTTCAGGTAAAGTTCTTCTGAGGTGGTGGTACTACTTTTCTGCAGCTGCTGGCATTTGTCGAAGGGGACCGGCTTGATGCATGGTCAGAGTGGATCTTGGGACTGTGGAGTTGCTAACTTAAGTTCACATGAGCTATGTTTTCCTCACGGAAATTTATTTTTCAATAAGTATAATATACATGATGCACTTACAGTAAGCATATTAAGGGCTCTCCTGTTCCTGAGAGAAATCAATTCCCAATAAAATACAACAGTGAAAACAGAATACGCTCACGTTCTTTCAAACTGTGAGAAGATTCAGTTCTACTAGCATTTTCTGCTCCTGCTTAGAATTTGAATTAAGCAATCATTGAGGCCTAGGTCATTTCCTGGGAGTTTAATGTGAGTTTGGCCTCTGCAGTGGGAATTTGGCTTCAGGCCATTAACTTCTGCTGGTCACTGATTTCCCTGACAATGCCCTCTCCTAAGGAACTTTTACTCTAAAATTAATTCTGTAGAAATTAAATATACCCTTCCTCACTCCATCTTATTTCTGTACTGTGTGTTTCTAGGGAATTAATACCCAGTTATGCTAGCCTATTTAGGGTGGCCATATTTCCCAAAGTGAAAACAGGACACCATGGGGTGCTGGCTCAAGCTCCCCACAGCCACTTGCCCGAGGCTGCTGCTGGCGCCCTCTCTCATCCCCCTCCCACAGGACTATCATTAGTCACTCAAACCCTGCTTCCCACCTGCACAGGGCTGTCATCTCTGCTTATGTTCCTCCTCACCACACCCCACTTTTATTTAAAACAAATAAAAATAAAAAAAATGGGCATTTGTCCTGTTTGCTCTTGCCAACTGATCAGGGCTAATAAAAGGGACTCTCCTTGCCAAAATGGGATGTATGGTAATCCTGAGCCTATTGGGTTGCCTTTTGAACTCTTCCTTTTGGCTTAGATTTAATATTACAGCCAGTCTGTCTGATATTGCTACAGTAGCAAAATGCCAAAGAATCATACAAAAGTTCTAAGTAGTTCTTAGTTCTTGACTATTCCAGGTTGGATTGCTGAAGAGACAATACCACTACATTTCTTTCCCTACTGATGCTTTTTTCAACCCTAATGCATTTCTGAAAGCTCAACTAAACACTGAAGTGTAGAGCTGACATGGAAAATCCCTCATTTAATTTGTATCAGATTACCCTTTTTATTAAAGCATGATTGGAGAGCCCGTTCACTGCTTTACTTCGTGTGGGATGTGCCCAGTGATACTATAAAGAAGCTGCAGTTCATAATATTAAGTTGGCAAGAGAAGTGTTAAAGTTGGATGTTGTACAATACATTGTCTTTACACTGAATTGTCAGTCCAGTGCGTAGATGGTTAATCAGGACAGTTGTTTTACTTTTATGTAGCAAATATTGATTTCCTATTTCACTGTTAACCTTGATTATCATGCACATTGTAGGGAGAGTGGTCGCTTTGGATGAGCTATTACCAGCAGGAGAGTGATTTTGTGTGTGCGGTTTTTGGAGGGGGATGGGGGGGTGAGAAAACCTGGATTTGTGCTGGAAATGGCCCACCTTGATTACCATACACATTTTAAAGAGAGTGGTCACTTTGGATGGGCTATTACCAGCAGGAGAGTGAGTTTGTGTGTGGGGGGGCGGAGGGTGAGAGAACCTGGATTTGTGCTGGAAATGGCCCAACTTGATGATCACTTTAGATAAGCTATTACCAGCAGGAGAGTGGGGTGGGAGGAGGTATTGTTTCATGGTCTCTGTGTATATAATGTCTTCTGCAGTTTCCACAGTATGCATCCGATGAAATGAGCTGTAGCTCACGAAAGCTCATGTTCAAATAAATTGGTTAGTCTCTAAGGTGCCACAAGTACTCCTTTTCTTTTTATAAAATAATTTGCTATTCAAGGGGTGAACATAAACCAGTACCGGGTTGAGCTGGCAGATTGCTTGAAACAGTAGCTCTAAGAGGTGTGAACTGCCCCATTGATCAGAGTCAGGGCTCCATGATTCCATGAACTGGTAATGAATTCGACAGGCGTGACTGCATTAGGATTTCCCTTCTAACTTTTATGAAACTTGAACAAGACAATCGTGGGTGAACACTACCACACGTCTAAATTTGATGCTGTAACAAGTAAACTAGCTGCATAGTGACTCAGCATACTAAATGTCATATCTGGAAAATGACTAATAAAACTGGACCAAAAGTTCACTATTAGCCATGCTTAATTACTCTCTCTCCCTCCCTCCCCGAGAAAGACATCACCCCTTTACCTTCGATATTTTTTCATCCCAAAGCATGTTCCATAAGAAAGTGAGAAAAACTTGTTAGGTCATTGTAGAAGATGTATTGGTGTTTGGCGCTACTGTGGAAAAACACACCAACGTATTAGAGACACGGTGGGTGCGGTAATATATTTTATTGGACCAACTTCCCACCTTGTCTGTGTCT